AGCAGTCCCTGCACGATTGACTTAATCATTTTGCGAAATTTGACATAGCGGCAAAAAAGTGGTCCACGAGGGACAATATGAGCCACCGGTGGCTCAGGGCGGACGCATGCGAAAGCACGCCATTGTCCCACGCGGCGCTTTCCCGCAAAACGCGATTGTCGTCGACGTATTAATCAATCCACTCATATTTTCTACTTACATTTTATTTATTTTCTATTTATATGTACATCAGTTGCTCTTCAACTCTAGCTTTCGTCATCTTCAACATCTTCGAAATTGCATGACTTTGCAGCACCTCAAATGTTATCCGCATCAAGAGTTGCGTTTTAATTGTATTCCGAAAGCGCAATTACAAGACTTGGCAAAGTGCCAGGAGCGCTGCGCGCGACACGCGCCGCGCGGACGGCGGTCAGTATAAACGGGACCGGGATATTGCAGCGGCGTTCAGCATGTCTGCGCCGCAAGTTGCATTTTAGGCGGAGCATGGAGGAATTAGCCTGTCCCACGGTCCCAGGAACGCGCTAAGCTCCGACAGCTGGAGGCTCACTAAAGCCGCGTGCAGCCTGTCAAGGACGCACGAGCGTACGTTGTTCTTTAGATCACAAAATACTATTCCAAGCCTGGCAAAGACAGCGCTACACTCGTACATATTATCTTATACTCTTTACTGTAGCCGACACCGATCGATACCCGTCCAAGGGCTGCGTTTCCGTCTGTAGCACTCCATGGTAATGGTGGCGTGTAGCAGCGCATCTTCGCGCGTTACAGCGCGTTCTAGACTGAACGCTATCTCACATGATGCTCTGGGACCAGTGCACACCATCTTGAGAGAATCCCATCAAGGATGAGGAGTATATCTGGAGCTAAGAGATCTTCCGATCGTTGTGGTCCCGCTTCAGGCGTCCTGTATACGTTCGCAATGCAGGAGTATCGTCGGCAGTAGTACTTCTTACGACAGTTGATCGGAGGTGTGTACCCTAATTCTACAATAAGACCTCGAGAAAACTTAGTAGGGGTAGCGGGTTGAGGGTTGTAGCGGTAGGTGGTAAACATTCAAAGGCATATGGCATGATAATTTGGATAATCGGTCTAAAATGCTAGCAGGGTGCTATATAGTGGGAAAATGGCGAAAAAACGAAGTGAAACGGTCAAAAACTTTAAAAAAACCTCTGTTCTACACGATCAAAAAGCAACGAACGAGTTCCTCGTTGGCATCGTGCCAATGACCGCTACGGTAAATACGGCCACATGTGCGCACTCATCTATCCGTGCAGTATTGCGGTCGCTTTCATCAATCCCTTCGCTTCATATTTTACTTCGCAAATGAAGCAATACGAGCATCAGGTACGGTCGTCCATTTGTGGGCGGGCGGGCGCGGTGGGCGTTCGGGTCGGTATGTTGTAGCTTGATAGGGCCTTGAACGGGTACCTCCATTGAGCGTTACGCACTGCTCAGGGTCGTGGAATTCCGTCCAGCCAAACGTACTTATCTACTGGTCTCAGGGATTTATCGTGCCAGCTGCCTTCAAAGCCAAGTGGCACGATTAATGCCCAAGACGTGTAGGACTAATCCGCCTAGCAGGACAGGATTCGGTGCCCCTGAGCAGTGCGTGGCACCTTTTCCAACGAAGGTACCCATAGCGCCCTATCAAGGTGCAACCTACCTACACGGACGCCTCACCGCGCCCGCCTGCCCACAAATGTCCGACCGACGCTGATGCTTCGTATTGCTTCATTTGCGAAGTAAAATATGAAGCGAAGGGATTGATATGAAGCGGACTGCGTGCTGCATGGATATATGAGTACCAGTCGGATCGCCCGGCTGACGCCGAGCTCTCCTCCTTCTCTTTAGCTCGGCTTCGCCGAGCTGGCCTGGCTTCGCCAGGCGCGCTCCATAATTTTAACGGAGCCTTTTCAATAGTGGGCTGCTCATACGGCGCTGTAGTGATCGAATCGTAACAGATAGAGCAAGGCTTAGGATCCTGCACTACTTAGCATACAATGTGTAGTCGGCCAATACAGCGCAATATGAATCGCTCAGTAAAAGAACAGATTTCGTTTCCATTACCTGCACCGAAATGCCTACCGATGAATGTTCCCCTTTTCAATTAGCATGCAATCCGCTCCCTGAAGTATATTATTAGTAGGTGCTATACTCCCTTGTTATTCGTTCTCATCTGTAATTGAATGGTCAAAAGTAAAAAGAGCTGTTGAACGCATGAAGCGCCGCATTATTCAGGTTTTCTGTTCCGGAGTTTCCTGTTTCAGGTCCCCCCCTCTCGTCGACATTCGGACATTTTATAGTTAGTATAGTGGGATGAGTCATTTTCTAGTGCTCATCAGAGGAGTGATCGGCTCAAAGGCAAAGTTTGGGCACACTAGCGCGGCCTTCAATACTGTGGCAGTATAATGATAATATACCGTAAGGAGAAACTGGCCCGGCCTTATTCCTTCTGTTTATCAATTTGATTAAGATGAGCTGCACCAGTCATCAGCAATGTCCCTATCACTAAAGCCCTCTATAACTTGTGCGTGTAAACGGCTCAGAACTTTGATCGTGAACAACAACGGAACGTTCCTTATCAGCTCCCTATGCAGCTGTTATCACCCTCCTGTCAGCCGTGCAGCACGATTCGCATCTGCCTCACTCTATATCATTTTCTGAAATCAACGCCTAGCTGATGCTGTGTATCGCGTTATGAGTATGATGACCTTACCATTCTAATTCCCCTTATCGAATCTTATCAGCCTTGATTATCACTTCCTGCCACGGCGGTCACTCATACTCCCCGGTTATCGAATCCTTATTCAGCTGATAGTCACTTGCTTCCTGCCACGCGCACGGGCAATTAATGATCCTGTCGCACACCCTAATCCCCTACTCTTGAATCACAACGTCGCCACTGTTGCTGTGTCCGCGCAGTGATGCGACTCGGGTCATCCGCTCCCCTTCTGAGGCCCCTTATCCCGAATCTTATGAGATGTTGTGCACCCTTTTCTACCCAACGGACAGCCAATGTTCCTGTCCTCTCCGAGCTATATTCTATTCTATGGACTGTCATCCAATCTTTTCGGCGACGCTCGCTGATGAATTCTCGTTGACAGGAATCAGACCGTCGACCGCAGACCACAAACACACCGAGACACGACACATGACAGAACTAATTTAGCGAAGTCATACTTAGCGGATTATATATAGTAGGATATACATGTGGTCGTAACTACCGAAGCGGTTATTGGCATGCTGAAAACGAGGAACTCATTCATTGTTTTTTCGTGTAGAACAAAGGTTTTTTGCAGGTTTTTGACTGTTTCACTTCTCTTTTCGTCATTGTCCTACTATATAGCGCTCCTGTTACCGCTGTGGTCCGAGTACCAAATTATCGTGCCTTATGCGTTCAAGGATGGGGGCGGGCGAGCTGGCGTACTGACAAATCTATATCACGCAATGATGTGCCGTATCTTGCTAAGGACGGCGCGGTAACCCAGAAGATTTTCAAAAATGTAAGGGGAAATAAATACCCTGAAGAGAGAAAAAGAAGCAGAACTTACGTCATCATGTTGCCTGCTCCTTCGATTATGCCCTCGATACGGGTCCATTCTTGGGTCGATCTTAAACTACATTATCGTAAACGATTCATGAAAATGGAAACATAGTCGATAACGTCGCAATTAGTCGGGGCGGACCAGAAGGGGCGGAATGAACACGCTTTTTGCTCCCTTGTTCTATTGAACGACGACCAGTTAGCGATCGGGAGGAAACAAGTGGTGGAAACGTCACGGGTGGACTCATTCTGTCCCCATTGGAACCGCCCCGACTGAATGCAAGATATCAACTGTATGTGGTGGTGGTACTTTCTTCACGTACCGTCATAGTACATTCTCCTAATGTAGCTTTGCTCATATCCTTCGCGTAACCGTTCACATCGTGACCGGTACTGTTGAACATTGCCGCATTTGTGAACATCAAAAACGCCCTGAAATGATCGTAAAGCAATATAAGCCGTAAGCTGTCTTGCGGGGGAAAGGGGCCTGCATTTGTGCAAAGAAAAATCATTGAAAATGAAAATTAATGGACGGAAATTGATATGGGTGATACGATAAGCAACTGATAAATGGTTGAGATCTGGCGCTGACGACTGCTTGTGAAATGCGCCATGCAATTAGCTTCCATTACGTATCAAAACAGCATTTGAGCGCGAGCTTGGGCGGAGAAGTAACGAGTATTGGCAGCCTTTTTTTCACGAAACTGGGGTGAGGACAGTTGTGTAGGACTATGAGACAGTATGCTAACCAGGCTCTAGTGACGGGCGTTAAACCCACGTTGCAGCGTCGTGCACAAATTAGTGGGCCTGAATGTGTTCTAGCACTGCCGGATTTGGCGCAGCGCCACCTCGTTCTTCACTAATCGCGGAAGCTGCCAGGCGACCATAATTAGTGGAATTAGTGGAAACGTGCTGGCACCGCGCCAGATCCACCCTCCCCCTCTCTTGTCACGCCAAGCGTCCGCAGCGAACAAGTCTTTATGCAGCTGCGAAGGATTTCATGTCTTTACTGACGGCACCACTTGGATTTAGGACATCCTTTATCTATAAAAGTAGGTTCTAGAGAGAACATAAAACTTACTTCTTCTGAAAGACAGCTGGATCCATCCCAGCAACGTTATCGATTTCTCGCTTTAACGTAGTCAAATCCACAGGACTAAAATACAGAGTAAATTGGAAAACTGACTCAATCTCAGCGTGAATCTTTTTCTGACTTACCTATAAACAATATTGCTATAGCCCGGCGCATCCCTATCCGTCACTGGATGCAGGAAAACGGCCGAGTGCTTATGTTCCTGCAGCGTATTCCACGCAGACATCATTCGCCCCTTCAAATAAATGGGCTTTGACACTTCCTATAACACAAGGGAACCAAGGCATTAGTAGCTAAGCGAATCGCTCTGCTAGTAAGAAAGAGAGGCATTAGGTCCAGTGTCTGGCCGCACTAATTCGCCACAGGTAGTACAGTCCTCATCATTGCGGACCGGTGGGGCGTGTCAGCCAGTATGAGTGTGCACACTGTTGAAGCCGTTCTCAGCCTTTTTGTTGAAACGCGTATGCGACAAAAAGTGGTAGAAAACGAGTAATACGGAGGATATAATACAGTAATGTCACTTGCCCGCTTCAACAACTGGTGCAGAACGACTTTGGCCCCGCGCCAAACGCAGCCGCACTGAACCGCCCCGACAGTACGTAATGATGAGGACTGCACGTGGAGGCAGAAAACTGCCCGCTTAAAAATGCCATGCCTGGTTCCTGGAAGTGTGACTCTCAAACCACGTGCGCTCATGCGCTCTGAAAGGAACATTCGCGCGACAAGGGACCGGACCTAATGGCATACACACACTTCATCGTGCCTATTCAACCCAGCACTCCTCAACATCTGCTAATACAGAAGACATTCAACACCTTTCAACTCACCTTAGGAGTTAATGTCAATTGTGATGGAGGTGGTTTTTCTTCTTTACGTAGTCTCTTTGGCGGTGATGAGACCAACGAAACAGAACCCTTCTCGTCCAGAGGCTGAGTCAAACCAAGATTTCTTGCAACTGTAAAGGAATTTTGGAGAGATTTCTCACAGGATTTGCCTCTGAAACTCTGGATTCGTGCACAAAGTACGCAGCCACTGGTATGAACTTGTACAAAGCCCTGCCCCTCTGTTCCATGAATTGATCTTCTTGTTTAACTCTTATTAGGAAACGATAGCACTAACCTTGCAATGCTCCATCACTGAAATTGCAGTAGCAGACTTCCCAAGTATGTATGCGCTCTTCTGACACCTTCAGCGTCTGAGGCATTTTCTGAAAGCCTCAAGTTGGCACAAAATCAAAACAGAAGGATTCTATTAGTTTTCGCTATGGTCCTGCCATGAAGCATTGGTTCAAAGAACGAACAGTGGTGTGTTGACAAGACAATCGTGACTCGCCGTGCTTGTGTAAGGCAGGCAGCCTCAGGTTTCGCGCTTAATCGCGCCAGTAGATAACGATGTCTCTAGGTTGTGGATGGCGACAATAGGCAATAGAAAACTTAGAGACAGCCCCCGCGCTCAAGTAGTACATGGTCGTCCTTCCTTGTGCTAGTAGTACAGCCCCCAAGCTAAGAAGCTGCCCTCCTCTCGAGACCAAACAGCGAGCGAGAAGCGAGCTACAGCAGCTGAAAGTTCTAGTTCTAACGCCGCTCAGCCCGTTGGACCGCCTCACTTGCTAGATGCCCTCTGACGGAGGGCCGCTCAGTTGTTCTTTGTTGGGGCGGCAGGCATTAATCGGGAACGCATGCTTTTTTGCTGACCGCGCTCGTGCCCATGAATGATTCTGCTCTCCTTCAATACATTTTATACATTAGCAGCACATACAGTCAACTCGACTCGCAAGGTTAAAGGTGCAAAAGCTCGACGCACTATACTACACTAAAAGAGGCACGCTACCGTATCCTAAATTCGGACTACGACTTTTAGAAGTTTCTTTTCCTCTTCAAGAGTTTTTCTTTCGTGTTTTTGTTGTTTTTCGTATTCTTTTCTTTGCATTGGATGATATCCACTACTGGGAGATGTGATAAAGGGATTTGTGAGCCAGGGGTTGCACAGAGACCGCAGGGAGGTGTGACTGTCAGGGAGCGATTTTGTTTATGGTGTTCTTGAGGACTCTTCTTGCTTTTTTCTTCTTTGGGGAATTACTTATCAGCTACTGTTTCATAATTGAAAAGCAACTATCCATGACACTTTTATCGCGGG